CACAAGATCGTCTGCTCACTCTACCTTCTCACAGGTAGTCTGTCTGGCAGCAGCTCCCCACAGTTTACATCAAAAATTCACTTCCAAAGTAGTCTCAGCGAAATTTTGTCTGTGGAAGAAAGTGTAAGGCAGATCAGCCAGGAGGGCCCCCAGCTTACCTACTCCTCTGGCTGAGGTGATATCAACCAGAAAGGCAACCTTCATCGACAGATGAACCTGATGCCAAGGGTTCACACAGTCTTTGTTAATGCTGACAGGACTAGACTGAGGTCCCAGTCAAGGTATGTTTTGTTATCAGAGGTTCTAACACCAACACTATCTTTTAAAAAACATTCTTCACCCCTCTGGTTGTTCTTCACCCAAGAGGGTGACAGGTCTTGATAAATGCTAAGTGAATCCACATAGAGCTAAGAGATACTTCCGAAGTCTTTCAGGAGAAAAGGTAATTCAAAATGACAGAGATGTTGTCATCTTTCGGGGTTATTAGACAATGTTGGTGCCAAGCCGAAAACTCCTTTCCACTTTTCTCTGTAGCACTTGTATGGAATCCTTCCTACTGTTGTTAAGGACAGATTGTAGTGCTTCTGGACATGCACTTTCTAGGTTTGTTGCCCATCCAAATACCAGGCTATCAGGTGGAGGGATGCTGGAGTGGGATGTCTGATCTTGCCTCTGTCCTTGGTCAACAGGTCTGGGAAGAGCTGAATATGGATGCATGGGCATGCTGATATCTGGTGAATGCTGGGAAACCAGAATTGCCTGGGCCATCTGGGAGCAAATCAACATCATTGATACTCCCTGTTGCTTCACATTCCTCAGAACCTGAGGTAAAAGTGGAACATGTGGAAAGGTCTGTCAGTTGTCCTCCTCAGTTGGTCTTTAAATTGTCTGTAGTCATCACATGGTAATGATGAGGTTGGTGCAACCACCTCGCCTGCGCTTGAAGATTCCAACCCCGTTTGAGCTGGTGGTTCCTCCTCTTCCCTCCATTAGTTTTTGTGGTTCAGGATCTTCTCTGCAAAGGGAGGGCTGTCTGGATTCCCTGTGGTACTGTAAGAATTCAGGATGTCGCACGTATGGATCCCATGGACCCCAGTAAGGCTAATGTGAGGAGACAAAAGGGAACTGGGGTGGTCTCCATGGAGTAGGGTACCATTGGTTCTGAGGTGCACAATCTCTCTTATGAGATACAGACTATGCCCAAGAGACTCTGGATCCTCTGTCTGGACTGACCCCTTGTCTCAGTGATGGCACTCACCCCCTAACACTCATCAGATGAGGTAGCAGATTCAAAATCCATGGGCGGTGCCATTGATCCTTGGATCCTTACACACCATCTGGTAGATGGTATCAGTGAGCGACACTCCCTTTCCTGCATGCCCTGGACCAATGGTGCGGAGATGTCCCTGCTCAGGATCTGTTTTGACAGGAGCGGGGATTCCAGGTTAGTGAAGATGGCCATGTCCTCTGGGCAGCATACCTAGCCCTCGACTCAAGGGAGTGGGATGGGCTCCCTTCTTTTCATGGCGCCACAGCATCAGTCTCATTGCAGTCTTTGGTACCAATGACTCATTACAATT